CCCCCCCCGCTTCACTCCACTCACCACCGCGAGGCGCTCCATGTGAGAGTTATGTCTCTCCATCAAGCCCGCCAGGAGTGCCACAGCGTCTTCGAGCGTTTCTGCCCGGCGGGCCACGGCGTCGGCCTCTTCGAAGGCCAGCTCCTCGCTCACTTGCGCTGCTTTCTCCCAGAGCTGGATCTTGGCGAGCACTTCCCTGGCCTAGTCTCCGTGGGGGGGTGGGGGGTTCCCAGGACAGCAGAGACAAAAGAAAAGGAGTGGAGAACAAAAAAAAAAACGAGCACGTAAAAAGCGGTCTTTGTTCATGGGGTCGTTCCCTCGCTCTTCCCTCTCCTCTCTCACTCCCTCTCTCTCTTTCTCCCTCTCCTTCTCTGTCTCTGGGTAAACACACGATCAACATTTCTCGACGTTTGTTTCCACCGCCAAGCCTGGGGGTCCTGGGGGTTGAAGCAACCCCCGTATCGGCGTGTTGCGGCACATCGCCCTCGCCGTAGACGTCAGATAGCAACGAAAGCGAGCTAGGACCTCTGCAGCGAGTCCCTACTTCTTTGTCCCCAGAAAAATGCTTCCCCACGGGGGTGGAAAAAAAAAGACAAGAGTGAGGGCTATCTATGCATACAAAAGCTTTTTTGCATCCACCACACGCGCACAAGCACAAAAACAGCGGACGGTCTGCGTATTTTCCCTTCGGGAAAATGAGCGCGGCGGCTCCTTGTACCGAACCGTACTGCCGTGCCATACCGCATCATACCTCCTTCTCCGTCTTTTTCCCGGCCTCCCTCATCTCCTTCATGTCGTGCAGCGACTGTCGCTGGGATACCCCCCGAACATGGAACAAAGGAAGCAGCATGGGGAGACAGACAGAGCAGTAGGAGAGCGACGATTCGTGAGTTCTGCCGTCTTTTTGCCGCAAGGATTAGGAACGAACACAGCTTTGCGAAATGCAATACGTACACCACCGCGTCTCGCCAGTGTCCACGACCCAATCCCCACGCTGAATTGCTCGTTGGTGCCATTTGGATGAACGAAAGATATTCCCCGCCCATCCCCTCGGGATCTCCCTTCCGAATGCGAAGAAAGAAAAACACGCATACGTGCACGTGGGTTCATTTGCTGTGGAATCTTCTCCCTCAAGTCCAGGTGGAAAGGGAGACGGGAGGGGGGGGGGCAGGCTTACCCGCACGGCTCGATGGGTGTCAGTGATGGCGGTGGCGCGTTCGCGGGACGCCAACGATCTCCGGACCACGTCCTGCAAGGCGCCGCGGCTTTCCTGTGGAAGAGGGTAACAACGCGTGTGTCACAAGTATGAAGAGGGTTTGTATTGACGCAGCGGGAAGCTACGTATAAAGCGATCGGAGGGGTGGCACTTGGTGGTAATGGCAGTCGATGGGTGAACGACGCATCCAATCCCGCGAAATACACAAAACTAGGCAAGTTGGGGCGGGGGGGGGTGACACACCCTCCCGTGCAAGTAATCCTCGCTAGGAACAGTCCCCTAAATGGGTAGCTGCACGCCCCCGTTATTATCACCACACCTCGATAAACTTGGCCCTTTCCGCCGTTCTCTTCAGCTGCGCCCTCGCAGTTTGCACGTGTCTCTCTGACAACCTTCCCCCCGCCGACGATTGCTGCTGCTGTTGCTGTTGCCGCCGCCGCCGCCGCCGCCGCGGGAGCGGTTTACCATCGCCGCGACCACTGCCGTCCCCGTTGCCATTGATACTCGTGCCGTTGGCATTCCTGCTGCTGCTGCTGCTGCTGCTGCTGCTGCTCCTGCTGCTGCTGCTGCTGCTGCTGCCGCTGCCGCTGCTGCTGCCGCTGCTGCAGCCGCCGTTGCTGCAGCCGCCGCTGCTGCTGCCGCCGTCGCTACTGCCGCTGCCGCTGCTGTCGCTGCTGCTTCCGCTACTGCTGCCGCCACCGTCGCCACCGCTGCTGCTGCTGATGCTGCTACTGCTGCTGCTGCTGCTGCTGCTGCTGCTGCTCTTGTCGTCGCCGTCACTGGGGCTACCCTCGCTGGCCTCAGCGGCGGAGCAACCAGGCGGGGCTCCTGTTTCCGTGACGTCATCGCCGCGTGGGAGCCGTGATGCGGACGATGACGACGACGACGACGACGACGACGACGACGACGACGACAACGACGACGACGACGACGACGACGACGACGACGACGACGACGATGGCAACGATGGTTTCGAGGCGGCGGCGGCGGCGACGACATCAGGCCTACTACCCCACTTCCTGTAGCCACCGTAAGCCTCAGCGGCGGCACAAGCCGGTGGGGTGGACGCCTCCGCCGTCTCCACGTGTGGCGCAGGCGACGGTGATGACGATGAGGAGGAGGAGGAGGAGGGCGGGGTTGCCGTGGTGGTGGTGGTGCGCGTCGTGTCGATAGTACACTCACTACCGCCCTGAAGGCAGGGGGAGACGATAGTGGGAAAGGGGGGTTACTTTCGTCGGGGTGCCGATGTCGTCCATAGGTAAAACAGGCGTCGGGTGATGGAGGACGACGAGGATGGGCAGGTGTTTCTTCCGACAAGTCATCCCCCGGAACCAGAAAAGCAGCCAACGCTAGGTTCTAGGCTTGAGCGTTCGCGGCAAATGCTGGGGAAAGGGACAGTGAGGCCAGACCTACGAAGTATCTCTGCTCTGCGAGGGCTCCAACATGTATTCCGCATACTGCAAAAGAATGCATAAACGGCGCCACCCGCAGTGTCCTCGCCCTTCCCTAGCGCCGAAGAAACAGTTCCGTGGCAAGACACAGAAAATGTACCTCCACCTAAACTAGGCGGAGGTTTGTGGCGACCGGCAATAGCTGAGCGTCGCATTTTCACACAAAAAAAAAAAAAGTCTCCGGCCGACATTGACGAACCATCAGTGTGGAAACTGCAGTAACGCATAACGTTGGCGACTAGGCCCGTCCATTAGCCGTGGTGCTACAGTAGAATGTCGTTTCATGAAAAATATTGTGAAGCCATCACGGCGAGGTACTTATTTAGTTCAAGAGCAGTCGGGCTTACCCGAAAGAAAAATATAAGGAGTAAGGGACTGCTGTTGGGCCCTCACGTCCATGCCGCGAACGCGCTGCTGTGTTAACGGGTACGCAACCCGTCACGTTCAAAGGAGGGCGCGAGACCTTCAACCGCAAGAGACAACAGCAACCAGTTCGGTCAAGTCTGCTCTGCCGCTTGGCCCACCCCACACCCAGGGTAGGGGCCAAACGGTAACGGTGACTTGAGTCTCACCGCAAGGAGGTCCGAAACGAAGGATCCGTTCATGGCGAGGTCGGCCAGCTCTTGCTGGTGGTCCTCCAGCGGCCGCCTGAGGTACTGCCCCTGCAGCGCCTCCAAGCCAGCGTAGGCCGGTGAGGACGAGCGGTGGCCGGCGCCGCGGAATGCGGTGTAGTCGTCGAGGGTCACCTCCGGCTTGAGCTTCCCCGGCAGCACGCAAGGCCCGCAAAGAAGAACAGAACAAGAAAATAGCAAAAAAAACTTATGAAACCAATACTACCTGTGCTGCGTAAGTGGAGGAGACAATGGACGAGAGTATCCAATGGAGCAAGGCAAAGGCACCTTGCAACACGAGAGCTGGGCGATAAAACGACACCGTTCGCACCCGGTAGGCATACATACGACCTCGCCGTCAAATACAGAGCGGATCAAAAACGCACACAAACGAAGAACCACAGAAGCATCGAACTAAATAGTAACAGCCTCTTAAAAGCAGCATCGAATACCCTTCCCCGCACCCACCTTGTGAAGCCGCTGGAGGACGGCCAGCTCCTTGGCTTCCATGTCCCTCGCCTCTCTCACGACGACTGACGCCCGTGCCGCTCCCGTCCCGGCAAAGTCCGTCATTCCCAGCCCGACTAAGACATCGAGCCAAGCAGGCGCCGGCGCCACCCGCGGCGTCCCCGACCGCGGCGACGCAATAATGGTGGTGACGCCACTACCCTTTCGTTCCCCCTCTCCGCTGTCCTCTATTCGTCGAGGTTGTGGCCGTGCCGCAATCGTTGCCATTTTCTCGTCTCCTCCGTGGCGACTCCGATTTCCGGACTTTCGAGAGCCTTCTCGTTTGCCGGGTCGCTGGTACGGCGGGGGCGGCGACCCAGTCGCCGCCGCCGCCACCGCCGCCGTGGTGTGGGGCGTGTCGACCGCGGCAGCAGCCCCGCGGGCTTCTTGCGCTTCGACCTCTTTCGTCTCGGACCGATCCTTTTCTCCCGTTCCTCCTGGTGCCTTAACCCCTCCCCCATTTCCCGCTTCGGCGGCTGGCCGTCGCTGTCGCATCTGCTGCTGCGGCGGCGGCGGCGGCTGTTGTTGCGCCCGCTGTCGGCGGTACCCCTCCATCTCTCGCTCGTGGTCCTCCTCCTCCTCAAGCTGCCGACGAATTATCTCTATCTCTGCCGCCGTCGCCGCCTCGCCCGCGGCCGTCTGGGGCGGCGGGCGCAAGGGCGAACGGCGCGGGGGTGGCGCCACGGGGATTTGTCTCTCCTGCGCCATTTTGTACGCGCGCGCGTGGGGCGTTGGAGGGAGCAAGCATTATTGATTCGTCGCCAAACGGAGCAACTGAGGCGACGGCAGCGAGAGACAACAGGGAAGCTCCCACACCATGTCGGCTGTACAGCAGTAGCGAGACAACATAGCGCCTTCCACGCTGCCGCAAACAAAAACGCCCGCGGGCGCACGATAGCACGGAGCTTCGTCGTCAACCGAAAAGAGGTGGCTTCTCACTATCAAGCACGAGGCGCCACCGCGGGGCTAAGGTGGTCAGGGCAACGAGCAAAAATGCAAAGAGTGAAGAGCGAATACTGGTGCATAGTAACGGCTAAATCCCCTTCAACAGCTCTTGAAAGACAAAGCATGGCAGCCCTTCGAAAAGCTTCGTACACAGTAACAGCTGCATCCCTCAACAGCTGTTCAAAAATGAAGCATGGTAGCGCCCTTCGAAAAGCTCTGCGGGGCCCGAGACAGAAGGTAGACCAAGAGAGGCATTTTTTTTGTGAGGGACAAACCAGGCGGAAAAGGCGTCTCCTTGCTTGCTTCTGAGCGTCGCGGACGTGCGTCGTCTTCGGGGTATGACCTTGTCCCTACAGTTTCGACAGTCGTGCGAAAGGCGCGTCCGGCGAAAAAGGAGCCAAACGAAAAAAAAACAGTTTCAGATATTGGTGCTCACCCGCCGTCGCCTCCGTCGCTGTTGCTGCCGCTGCCGCTGCTGCTGCTGCTGAGCCGCGAGGGAATCAAGCTGCTCGAGGATGCCTTGGACAGCCTGCGGCGGGTGTGAAACAAACCACAGAACAACATTTTTTTTCCACCGGGGACCCATCTCTCGTCACTCCACGCGTTGGTGCGAACACGCCGTGGGCAACATTGTTGTGGGCTTGTACGCGTTGTGGTTGATTACACAAATCGTGTACGTGCCTTACTTACCGGTGTTTTTGCAAGCTTTGGGCTTGTAACCAACGGATTGAGCCTATCAACGTCTGCGGTCGCCTCCTGCAGTAGATGCACCCTTGTCTGCCTTTGGTCAGACAACAGCCAACGGAAAGCACCTTCGACGGACCTCTCTACGCGTCGGCGACGACGGAATGCTACGTCCCCCTCTTGATCCGGCCTGAGGTCCATCCTTCAGTGATCACCGGAAAGGACACAGCAATTACTATCATATTACCGGGGCAACACCCACAAAAAGGGAAAACGAGGCGCGGGTGTGTGTGTGCTCATGTTTTGCATGTCACTGCAGTTGGACCATTGACCGCGTGTCGTTGAGAGGACGGAGCACTGCTCCCACAGGACCGATCACCGATGGCCCAGTCGTTCCTCCCTACTTTGCCAAGAGGTGGCGGGGGGGACTGAGAGGAGCACGCACGCGCACCCAAAGCACACGAAAACCAGCCAAGCGAGCTCTATGTAGTCGGGTACACACTCACGGCGGGGTAGCAGCAGCACCTGTGCTTGCAACCCTATTTCGTCGCCCGCACCTTGGGGTCGGTGTCGACCGCTGTTGGCGTCACGGCCACCGTAGCCTTCGCGGCCTTTCGTCGGCGTCGCTTTTGCGCCGCACGCTGTACCGCCTTCGCCCCAAAGCCACCCCTACCCGCGAGCGCCGCCAGGGCCGCCGCCGCCTCGGCGGTTGAAGGAGCTTCCTCGCCGCTGCCGCTTCCGCTGTCGCCGCCGCCGCTGTTGTACAGGCGGTGCTGCTGGTATCTGCGACGGCGCTGTGCGGCAGCGGGATCCGTGCTTCTGCGCTGCCATGTGGTCCCTGCTTCTGCTGCTGCTGCTGCTGCCACCGGGCTCACGTACGGCTGCGCGTCAGATGACAAATCACCGTTGCCGCCGCCGCCGCCGCCGCCGCCGCCGCCGCCCGGGGGACGTTTTTTTCGACAACTTTTTTCACGGCGGGCATTCTTGGTGCCCATTTTTTTTCGCGGGCATGGGGGCGACGGCGGCGGCGATGGCGGCAACGGCCGCTCAAAGACTAGCAGGGTCGTCTTGGCACGCCTCAGGAGCATCTCCCTTGTCTCCACGAGCCCCATCTCGCGAACATCTTGCCCCCTGCGACATAACGGTGCATCCAGGGACGACAGGCAGCGCGTCAGTGTCATTCTGCACCCGCATGAGTGGAGCACGGGGGG